TTGTTTAGATTTCTTATCCAAAATAATCTTTTATTTTTAATTTATATTTTATCCATAGTTATTATGTTCCGACATAAGATTTCACACAGATACATATACACCTAATATCTAAAAAATTCACATAAACGTGTGTGTGTGTGTATATATATATATATATATATATATATATATATATATATATATATATATATAATTTACTTTCATTTATTCGTAGAAGATTCAATGGTGGACGACATACATATAAATTATTAACTACTATGCCTAGCAATAAAAGAGAGCGTTGTAGAAGAAAAATTAAAGAGTTGGTTTTTTGCGCTTTTACTCTAAGAGTAATTATGTTTAGTTCTAAAAGGCTTAAGAAATTCATAATAGAAGCGAAGAACTAGCATTCTTGGTGACTCAAATTTGTTGGTGGATACCTTAGAGAAGTTCATCGTTTTTGTCTTTGTCATCTTCATCAACTCCCCTATTTCAAGTGGGATCAATAGCTAGAAAGGTTGATATGCTTAAACACCCTATTGTTGTTTTTTTTTTTTTATCTTTCTAACCTATAAATCGGATCCTTGATGGTATTGTTTTAAATGGTCTTAAACTAATAGTTATTTTTAAATAATGCTTTCGTTGCCGTAATAAGAAAAAGTTCATTTTAGCTACAAAACTCCATCATAAGGAACTGATAATTACCTATGTTTACTGTTTTTCACCCTTCAAATGTTTTATAGTCTTTCACAACCTGCTAATTATTGGAAATTAACATGGAAATTGCAACCTGAAAACATAAATATCAATATATTGAATCTACCTATCCGGAGAGGTAAAACAATTCCATATGTTAACCTTTAGTAATATTCAAAATTCTTTTATGAATTAAGATATGGTAAGTTTTTATATGAATTATTCATATGATCTATTTATTTTTTTATTTTTTTAGGAAGACAAGTTTCAAATGATATTATTGAAAATCATGCATTGATAAAGGTCGAAGTTTTTTTTTGAAAAGAAATGGTAGCAGCTTACTTAGATTCATTGAAATTCCATATTTAGTTGTCTTTCCGAGATCAAAATAGCTTGATCCATAATCAGTTGGCATATGATCGAATTTTTTTTTTGGAAATGCAAAATTGAAATGATAATGGCTCAACTCATATGTGAACATAAGGATGCATACAATATAATCATCAAAATTTTAAACAATAATAATAGACGAAAGTTCTTTATTTATGGATATAGTGTAACTAGAAAAACATATGTTTGGAGGATCTTATCTGCAAGCATACGTTCCAAATAACATATTGTTCTTATTGTTGCACCAAGTGGAATAGCTTCGCTATTGCTTATAGGAGGATGCACCGTTCATTTAAGATTTGTAATTCCAAATAATATTGACGAAGACTCAGTGTGTCCCATTGTTATCGACAGTGAGTTATGTTAGTTACTTAAGGAGACAAACTAATTATTTGAGATGAGGATCCGATGGTGCATAGACATTGTGTCTAAGCTTTAAATCGGACCTTGCTAACATTTTAAGTGTGTAAAACAAAGCCATCAATGTTCCACCATTTGGTGGGAAAGTTCTTTTGGAGGGAATTTCAAGCAGATATTGCTTGCCATACCAAAGGAAAGTAGGCAAGATATCATTCATTCATCTCTTAAGTCTTCAAAACTTTGCCTCCATTCTAAGATATTAAATTTAATTGTCAATATTCACTTACGAGTAGGTTGTGATCCGAAATAGTTTCCCAAAGATGAAGAATTTATAGAGAGGATACCGAAGATTAGTGACGGTGCCGTAAATGAGGATAATGATGGGCAAGCACATGTTGAAATTCTCGATTACATGTTGATTAAAGATGTTTGTGATCCTATTCAGGCAATTGTTGATTTTGTATACCCTTCTTTCATACCAGAATTACAAAGTACTAAAATCAGCAACTGTTTTCATCAATGTGCTATTTTTCCACCTATAATTAAGAAGTAAGCCATATAAACGAGTATATGCTTAATCAGACCCCCGATGATTATAATTAAGTTCGGAAAATTTATGCAATTCAGAACAATATAATTTTGTAACCGAAACATTGTACTCACCTAATGTGCTAAACTCCATCAAATTATCAAGAATAATGAATATTAAAGTTGAAAGTGGGTGCTCCGGTAATGTTGATGTGTAATCTTGATCAATCTCTAGGGCTATGTAATGGAACACACATACATGTAAACAAACTAGCAACATGCACGATTGAAGCAAAAATCATTTATGGAAATAATGTAGGAGCTTGAATGTTCATATTAGGGATCAAAATGGGTCCAAACCCGGACCGGATGGACCCGGACCCGGAACTGTTTATGGATTTTTGTAGAACCGGAAACCGGACCGGTATATAGGAACCGGTTCCGGTTCAGTTCCAGGAACGGTACTGGGTAAAGTAGGTCTAGAGCCGGAAAACCCGGAAACATCAAAGTGGGTAGGTTGGAACTGGATAAAGTGGGTTTAGAACCGGAAAACTCGAAAAAACCGGAATTTTTTGGCAATTACTTACTACTTAGTGGGTTAAACATTGAAAATTTTCATATTGATATCCCGATTTCGGGGGACTGTAAGTCATTGAATATGAATCTAAAATTGACAAAATTATAGTCTAAACTCATGTATAAACTCTAAAATATACTCCAGAAAAAAAATGTCAACCTGACTTTAAACGAATGATATATGCATGTGTTAATGTTTTCACATAACACAAAGTACAAAAACAAATAGCTGAAAAGTTCAGCTTTGATATCCCGACTTCGGAGGACTGTAATTCATTGAATATTAAACAAAAAATGACAAAATTATAGTATAAAATCGTATACAAACTCTAAGCTATAAGATGGAAAAAATTGCATGTCAATCCGACTTCAAAAGAATAAGATATCACATTTTAAAACTTTCATAAAATACAAAAAAGATGAAAAAGTAAAAACTTCCAGCTTTAAAAAAGTAGAAACTTCAATGAATACAAAACTAAAGATAACAAATTTATAGTCTAAAATCATCTACAAACTCTAAACTACACATTGGAAAAAACCGTATCTTAATCCGACTTAAAACGAATAAGATATGCATGTTTTAAACTTCTCACAAAAACCGGTTCCGATCCCTAAAAGTGGTTCCAGTTCCTAACACCGGTTCTGGTTCTTAGACCCGGTTTACCTGGACCCGATGGACCCAAATCCGGATAAAGCCAATTTGTAAACCCGGAACCGGAACCGGTTCTATATATTCCGGTTCTAACGGTTCCGGTTCCGGTCCGGTTTTTCGGTTTTAAATCTCATCCCTAGTTCATATCCATGATCCTTTTAACTTCGTCAGACAAATGGATTTCATTTAAATTTACCCCCAAACAGTTTCCTTTGGTATTGTGTTTGACAATGACAATCAATAAAAGTCAACGTCAATCATTTTTGGAGTTGAGTTATTCTTCTGAAGACTCACGTTCACACACATATAACTGTATTTTGCTTTGTCTAGAGTAACACGAAAGGATAATATAAAAGTGGTAATCATGGATGAAGAAGGACCCTATCAAACATACCGACTAACATTGTCTACAATTGAAGTACTCAATGAAGTACTTCAAGATTATAAATATTACATTAGTCATAAAGACCAGGTTGATGATGTTTGAATATCTTTAACCACATAGGGTACATAGATTGTGTTGTTAGACATTTATTTTTGGGTTATGTAATTTACATCTTTGCAATGGTTCTATTATATAATGTTCATATTTAGATGCAAATCTAGAAGCCGTAACACATTTTGAAAAAGCTACGCGGAGCTTTTTAGAATATGGATTGAGAGTATTTTCCTTTCAAAAACAGATTATGATGTTATAAGTTAATTATGCTATAATTGATGGTATTTAATGTGGTTGATACTTAATGAAGTATAATATATAACAATTCAAAATTTTGGAGAATTTAGTTAAATATTATTATTCATTCAAAAGTTCGAGGATTAAGGATAAAATTAACAAAAAGAAAAACGTTTTACTTTATTTTGACTAGTTGAACCAGTTAAACCGAATAAAAAAAACACATGAAAAAGAATCATTTACATAATAAAGTTTGGTGATTTTTTTTTCAAATTTATTTAGTTTTTTCCTAAATAAAAATATATGATAAATGTTATAAAGTTTTTGATGTGTTTGTACTCATCTAAAACTATATTTTATTTCGGTATTATATTTTATTTTCTTTTTGACGTATATGGATTGATGTAAAACTTATGGTTATATGTTATGTTAATTTATTTGGATTCATCTACAACTTATTTTAATGTGTATTTTTAATGTTAGAACTTGTAAACATCAAATTCATGATTTATATATACATGTATACGTAGGAAAATAGGAAAAAACATGAAAATTATAGAAACCGGTTGATCCGGCGGTCGAATCGGTAAAACCGGTGGAACTGAAAACCGGTCCCCATACCGGTTCAACTAAAAAACCGACTTTTAAAACATTATTTTTTTTAAGATACAATATCTTAATAAAAGAATGCTATAATTTCTTGGAAGGATTTAGGAGTAACGCAGGAATAAGTTTAAAAAATTTAGGTATTTAATGTGTTGGTAGCTAAGATGGTGCTAAAACACAATTTTGATTTTTTATTTTATACTGTTTGAGTCGGTCTTATTACAAGTTATTCGTTGGCCTTAATCCAGACTTGGTCCATGTCATCAAAGAACAAAAATGGGGTTATCGGCTGTCTTTGAAGTTTTAACTAAAGTAATTTATTTAGAGAATTTGATAGATTTTTTTAGATACAATGTATTAATATAAAAATTTATTAAAAAATATTTAGTTTAATAAATAGATATTAACGTAGATTCCTGCAATAAAAACTTAACTGCAGCACATTGCTACATTTCAGTATGTTTTTTCAAATCATATCTTGTTCAAATTGGTAAAGGTGCTATAATTTCTTGGAAGTTAATTTTCTATTCAATATTTTCAAATTAAGCAATACTTAGCAACTTTTGAGTTTTGACAATATAAATGAATCAAACATGTAGGAGAGATTACCCCGAACTTGGTAGTAGATGGAGGCATATTACGACCGAAAAATGTTCCTTGGCTGCCTACAGTATCATCCGTTGGATGATTGCACATCCCATCAGCCGTACGATGAAAATACTTTCCAACGTCATATTTGTTGCCACTCATGCTTCCAACATGTAGGAGATTATATCTTTGGTGCAAGTGCCTTCTTAGAATTAAATAACACAGCCCCAATGACACTGGTAGCCTATGCCATAATCCAAATTTATCCACCATATGCACAATCTAAAATCGTAACACAACAGATAAAACCATATCATTCATAATATTTTTCAAAAAAAAATTGTATCTAATCTTTTAAATCCAAATGTCCTTTGTAAAAAAATATTTTCATATGGAGTAAAATTATTTGAAGAGGTATTTCAATCAACAAACATAAGAGAGAGAGAGAGAGAGAGAGAGAGAGAGAGAGAGAGAGAGAGAGAGAGAGACTTACAATAAAGAGGATTGTGTCAAGGAAAGACATTTTCGTGACGAGAGGTCGTAATTCAGGATGAATGAAGAGGACTGAAGGAAGTGCGAGAGTCATGGTGTAAAGAAATTGTGGGTTCATTCGTGACGGGGTATTTGCTCATGAAAGGCATATGACTTACTCTCACATTAAAGATTGAATCTTACAAAATACTTCTAACACCATTTATAATGGACATCGGATAGCCACCCCAAAACTATTCAGCCACTTGGTTGCTTATCATATAAGGTATAACATTTCATCCTACACGTCCCTAACACTTGTATGAGAAAGGGAATACATGGTAATATTAGGTATATAACTAACAAAACTATATAGATTCACTTAAAATAATTTAGTATGATACATACTTTAAAAATAGTCCGTTTCCTATTTTTACTCTTGTTTCCTTAATTTTCATCTTCAAAAGAAAAATGTTACCAGATTTTACTTGACTTTGATTTTACTATTATGTCTAATTAGAGTTTTTGATTATTATTTAATTAAATAAAGATATTAAATAATTTTCATAATTATATATATATATATATATATATATATATATATATATATATATATATATATATATATATATATTAAATGATATTCATAATTATAATTCTTTTTTATGAAGATTAATTAAATTCGTCATTAATATCAACAATAATATTCTTTCAGAATGAATTCGCATATAGTTTTTCATTTATGTGTCTATATTTTGTTTAATGACACACTCACTCAAAATACAACAAAGCTGCTTAGAACATGGAGAACAATATTGTATTATATTAGAACGAGAGTCTATTATAGAAGAATGAGAGTATATTCTAACAAAATGAGAATATATTCAAGTAGAATACACTTTATTTTTTTCATATTCCATGCAAATTTATTGTATTTTAAGTGAGTAAGTCCATAAACAAATTACAAACCCAAACATGACAACCTAGATGTGAATTCATCCTCAAATAATGTTATTACTGACATTAATGACAAATTTAATTAGTTTTCATAAAAAAAAAAGAATTATAATTATGGATATCATTTAATATAAATACAATTATGGAAACCATTTAATATCTATTTTTATTTAATTAAATAATTATTTAATTTTACTAAACTCCTATTGGTGCATTCTAGCACACAATAAGTATAAAAAACACATGAACCTAGCTCTCTCTCTCTCTCTCTCTCTCTCTCTCCCTCTCTCTCTCTGAAACATCCCAAAAAATTTTGTTTGAAAACTTTACTAAACCATAATATCAATTACCAAAAGATAAAACCATGAATCATGTATCTCAAAATGTCATAATAAATTTATCAAATCGAAACTAGTATCAAAATCATATCATAATATCAGAGTCTATATCCCAGGCAAAACTGTGGTGAGTGTCATGCCATCATCTCGAGCCCTTCCCTTTGCTAGCTGAGGTAATCAAAAACTGAAAATGTAAGCACGAAGCTTAGTGAGCTCCCCCAAACTACTACATACCGTACAACAACACATAAAGGACCTACTAGGCCTTGCCCACTGCATCAGACCAAAGTCCGGAAACTGCATCAGACTGAAGTCCGGAAATAACCAGGGCATCGCCCTCTGCATCGGATCGAAGTCCAGAAACTGCATCGGACCTAAGTCTAGAGCTAACCAGGGCCTTGCTCTCTGCACCGGACCGAAGTCCGGAACTAACCAGGGTCTTTCCCTCTGCATTGGACCGAAGTCCCTATCATTCTTTCAGTTGACCGGACTCGCTGAGTTGGGCCACTAACTTGCCGAGTCCCTATCATTCTTTCAGATCCTCTACGCGCTTCTACTCGTCGAGTTTGGCAAAGAATCGACGAGTTGTTCTTTGATACTAACATCGAGTCTAACTTCATCCAACTCGCCGAGTTGTATGAACAACTCGTTGAGTTCTCCTTCATCATATAAACTCGTCCAGTATGTGGCTCGCTGAGTTGTATGAACCACTCGTCGAGTCTGTTCTTGAGGCAAGAAGATTTCTTTGGACTCACCGAGTCCTAAGGATGACTCGTCGAGTCTCATGCATGCAATTACTATACAGTCGATTCTAGTCGATTTCAGTGCATCCAATCCATAGATCTGGGGTTCTAGGGCTTGTTTTACACGTAAAGTTTCCAACTTTACGTGCATGCACAAGAGAATGGGGCTAAAACACCAAAATCATCCAACAATAAGCACTTGGGGTTTGGAACAAGGCTATATTTGCATAAAGGTAGCTACATTGAGCTCCTAGAGCTCAATAACATCCAGATCTATGGATTCCATCCTAAGAAGAGTTCACATATCGAGTTGAATCATATAAAGTTCCAAGAGAAACATAAACAAGCATAAAAGAGGGTTAAATGGAAGAATAAGCAAAGTGATAACTTTATTACCAGAATATGTAGCAAATGGGAGTTAGATTCTGGATCTCCTTTCTCTTCTATTGGTCTTCTTTCCTTCCTTCGCTTCTACAACTTTCAAACTAGCACCAAAACACTCAAGCTCAACAATGGAGACTAGGGTTTACAAAGAAATGCTCTAGAGGTGCTGGGGGTTGGGATGGGAGGTTATAATGACGTTTAAATAGGGTACAAACCCTGGGTTTAGGGTTTTTTTCCAGACAGGCAGACTCACCGAGTCTGGAATATGGACTCGTCGAGTCGCCCGCTAAAAACGCGTGCAAATCTTGCCTCTACTCGACGAGTTGGGCTACAGACTCCCCCACTTATCTTAGACTTCGTCCTCGAAGTCTGCTGTTACTGATCCTGAAAATAACTCTGCATAGTTCTCCCTCATCTCCTCCTCAGTCTCCCACGTCCTCTCTGAACCCTTCCGGTGCTGCCACTGCACCTTCACTAACTAAACCACCTTTTTCCTCAAGGTCTTGGTCTTCCGATCTAAGATCGCAACTGGTCTCTCGATGTGGGGGATTATTGGAAAATTAATTTTATTAATTTCCAAAAAAATAGATTTTCTCCATTGTTGAGCACAAATTTTGGACTCTAAATATAATAACAATGAACTATTGATTATATATTCTTGTTCTCCTCCATGATATCTTTGTTTCGTATATCACACGTCGAAAATGGATTAAAAATGAATGAGAAATTACTTGTCAAAGTAGGGCAATTAGAAAAGAAAAATAAAAGAGTTGAAGTGGGTCTTAAACTCATCCCACATTGGTGGGAGAATGAAAATGAAATTGGTTTATAATTACAAAGACTAGCTACCTTTGTAAGACTTATTAGAACCAAGGCTTTCTCTTACGAGCGCACGCAGGGGGTGCAAATGCGAACCAATTTGGCTTCGGGCCACTGAACTTGTGTGCGAGCGCGTGTCCTGCGGGCACGAATGCACCACCGGTCGACCAGAAAAGTTCAAGGACCTTTTTTGAATTTTTTTTCCCTTTTGGTTAACAGTTACAAAAACGAATTAAGAGTTATTAATCATAGATTTCGGTTTTGATTTCTTGATTATTTGTCTTATTTAAATTGTAATAATTACGATTTTGTTTTAATTACATCAGTTACATTGGGCGGTATAAATACAATGCATATGTGACTGATTCGAAACACCGAATGAAACAAAATCACTCTCTTCCTCTCTTATGCTTTTGGTTCATCTTTTTTCTCTTGCAACAACCAAGGTGTAATCCATGCTAAGTTAGGGTTCCAGCAATCAAGAAGAATTGCTTCCCGCTGTCGTAACCTGGGAAACAAACACTCATATAGGGCGTATTTGTTTTAAGGAGATTGTGTTAAACACAGGCCTCAATCAATAATTTTAGGGTTTTATTCTTTCATATAATTTTTTTGGGTTATATTTCCAAACATATGTAATAGTATATTTTTGTAGAATATATAGGTACAATTATCTATAAATTGTGTTTGTTTGTGATTCGTAAGTGTTTTATTCCAATAGAATAATATATCAAGTTTTTTTTAAGAATGTGATGAAAAATTTGAACTTTTATCCAAGAATTCTAACTAAACATTATGGCTGAATAAAACCAGTTATACTTACAAATTTTTAAATTGAATTAACTTAAAACAAATAAGATTTTTTAAATCAAGAGAATTAATTATCCTTTCAAATCTGGAATTTTCCTTTTTTAAATTTATATTTATTGACTAAAATACCCTTATAATGAAATTAAATGGTATTTTTCAATTGTCTTTAATTCAATAAGATTTATTAATCACTTTCTTAAAATAACTAAAATGATTGGTTGGCAATCATTCCTACATCCACACAATAATTAGTTAGAACACACTGACCTAAGTCTATATATATATATATATATATATATATATATATATATATATATATATATATATATATATATATATTATCACAAGAAAATTAATAAAAAAAATTCATACATACATCATTCATATTTTAACAAAAAAATTCATTAAAAATTCACAACTTAATACAGTCAATTCACATCTTAATATTGTTAATTTACAAATCAGTACTCAAAATTCACAGCTTAATATAATAATTTCATAACTCAATGCACAAAAGTTACACATTCAAAGTCATATTCTCAACTTAAAACTTACATTTATACCTTCAGATCTATAGGTTAGTGCTTCTTTCAAAGTTTATTTACAAAAATATTTCCAATTTTAAGTTTCATATGTAATAATGTGTTTGTGAAAATAGGATTGAAATTCTTTTTATTTACAATCACAACATTCTCTTTTAATAATAGATGGATTGTAACACCTGGTTCCTGGTATGTATTTTAATCTAAGTATTTTTGCACTTTTAGCTGGGACTCGGCGAGTTGTAGGCCCGACTCGCCGAGTAGGGGCGAGATATTGAGCACGTTTAAGTTGGCGACTCAGCGAGTCCGCCAGTCTGGAAGAAACCCTAGATCCGTGGGTTTTGCACCCTATTTAAACCATGTTATGAGCCCCAACCTCGCCTCCTTAACCCTCAGAGCATCATTTAGCAAACCCTAACCATTCCTCGAGCATTTTGAGCATTTCTTGTGTGAATCTTGAAGTTTTGAAGAAAATAAGGAAGGTAAATCCAAAGGAGTAGAAGGAGATCCAAGATCTTGCACCCACAACAGAGTTTATTGAGGTAA